GTCAACGCTCTCTGGTTTAATTTAAGAGTCAATCATCAGATATTGTCCAGGATTAATCTTCAGAGTGGATATAGCTCGCTAGCAGCCTCGTGCCGATGACCTATCCACGTCATCATTTACCCAGAATGCTTTGCATGTAAATAAAATGGCCTCATCCATGTAATATACTGTATTTTAAAACTTTTAGTTTAAAAATGATAAAAACTAAACAGCCTACAGTATTTTTACAGTCTTTATTTTACAGTTAAAATATATGTTTATCAAATAAAGTCTAATGTTACAACTAATCAGGGATCCCTTTAAGTTATTAGCATCCTTGACTCTTTAAAGGCTAAGCTCAAGACTTTTCTAGGTGACAAATTTTATTTAGGTTATATTTAGGTCTTGGGTTTCCTGAGTTATCCCTTTAGCTATGATGCTATAAACTTAGACTGCTTATTTTCTCACTTTGCTGCTTTATTTCTTCTCTTTTTTTCCATCCATCCATCCATCTAGACAGACACGTAGACACACATACACACACATACTCTTCCACTTATCTGGGGTTGGGTCCCATGGGGCAGCTGCCTAAGCAGAGAGGCCCAGACTTCCCTCTCCATATCCACTTGGGCTGGTTCCTCTGGGGACATCCAAAGGCCAGCCAAGAAACATAGTCCCWCCAGCATGTCCTTGGTCTTCCTCTGGGTCTCCTCCWGGTGGTATATGCCTGGAACACCTYACCAGGGAGGCATCCTAACTAGATGCCCGAGCTAACTCTCTTTACTCTGTTTCTAAAACCAATTGCTACTATGTTTATCCGTGTCTCTTTTCTGTTTTCTCAACCACAAGCTGGTCAAACTGAATTCAATAGCTTACATAAACTTTTAGTCTTTATCCACTATTTAATTTTTTCCACTATTTATTTCAGTTACCATGGCATGAATGCAAAGCAATGTACTGTACACAGTCACTTTGTTGATTATGTAAATGGATATAGACAAGTGAAAATGCTTCAGTGAGAAAGGGAAATAGTTGAAGAAGAGTTAGAAGGGAAGCAGAAGGAAATTGCCTCTACTTTTCATCAACCAGAAGATGATGCCATGCCAGCTCAGTAAAAAGGTAATATTGGTATTGACTGTCAAATTCGTAGGTTGGCACAGAAACTTGTTTTATACATTAAATGTCTGAGCTGTTTTAAAGGACAGTCACCAAACGTTTGCCTCATCTACCGTTTTAATAATGCTGGATGTTGACACAGCCCCTTATCTGCACAGTCTTTGTTTTCATAAAATGATTGACTCATCCCCCATGGCCTTCGTGGAAATATCCACATTAGATTATTTCCTCTCTCACTCAGCTTTTCCATGTATTTGTTACCCACATCTGTTTATACAGGTGTTTGTACTGGCTCATTTTTCATAATGCTCCTGTGTTTGWCGATATTTCACATCAAAATAATTTTTGAGGTGTGTAGGTTGTTGACTGCAAACGGGTTGGATTTCTAGTTCACTTGATGTTCCCAATGTCCTCTTAGTCAGCGAATCCTGATACCAAAGAGTGAAGGACACGGCTGTGTGGCACAGAGCAGAAGACTTGATGTCATTCAGTCTAACTTGCGGTATATGAGAAATGATAACTTCTATGATGCATTCTGAAAGCTTAAACACTTACAGGCTGATTGATAGAGTTGGCCTCTGTGACCCTGATCCACATTAATCAAAAAGGCCTTGATCAGAACCACAGTTTAATACTAATACTCATGATATTCTTAGTTTATACCTCTGCGTTGGATATTATTTAAGTCCTGCTGTGACTTAATGTTWTGAAACTGGTGAAAATTATCTGAAAGAAACCATCTTCATCAGACAAAAGTTTCTCCCCTTTGTAATTTAAAGTCTTATGTTTTAATGATCAGCTACTAGACTGGATTGTCAGTGTTTCAGCACCTTTACAAGCAAAGTGGGGGTTGCTCTGTTTGTTGCGCATCCAACGGCAATAGGGGTCAYAGTGGAGAAGGGCTTAAATGTGAGTGGAGCCTTTATGAAAGGAGCACAGGGCTGTGATCCACATATCTGAGCAGGAAGCAGATGTGAAAGTATGTTCCTCAAGGATAAGTCAGTCYACTTTTAAGTGGCCTGTGATACAGATCTCTACAGACTTTTCTGCTCTTCAGCATGAAGGCACCCCATGGGTATGTCAAATTCATGTTTGAAAACAATGTATCTTCATATAGCTTTAAGTGAACACAGTAATTTTATCAAGTACTTTGCAATAACTTGTTTTTTCCCTTTCTTGGGTAGTTAATGAGTTGATTATATTGTGATTAAAAAAATAAAATGTGTTTTCAAAGTTGTCAGTTTTTTCATGTAGCTCAGAGGTGTTCTAGTATTTTACAAGAGGAGAGCAATGTGTTTGCAGAAGAAGAGAGGGAGTAGGACTCCAGCTTGTTGTGGGGACTTTTAAATTGGAAACTAGGAGCAACCAAAGGGCTGTCATTGCACAACTTCTCTACAGCTGGTTAGAATGCCACAGTTAAAGAAATGCAACTCAGCTACTGAACCTCAGTTGATTTTTTTTTTTTTTTTTTGTAAGTAAAACAAAAAACAGCCTTGGAAATGTGCAGCGTCCTAACCATAACAGCATTTGAATATAGTACCAGGGAGAGAGATATAATTATCAAAAATATGCACAATTTATTTTAATTAAATTTAAACCCTACAGCATCATCCAGAATGTGCTCAAGGCCAAAGCTAAATATTAAAATTTAAATGTCATTTAAATATTTAAAATTGTACATATTTAATTCTTCATCCTGCACTAGCTGTTTTTGCTTACATGTGGGAACTTTAAATGACACTTTCATTGAAGCATTAGCTCGTGGGTTTAGTACACTCGTTTCTGTTTACCAAACAATACACACAGACTCAGCCCTTATTTAGTTTTTTCTCATCAAAGATTTATCTTAAGCTTTCCTTCTATGTATTTTATTTCCAGTAGTTAAAAGATAAATATACATATAAAGTATGGTTGGGTAATATTAATGTAAGAATTTATCATAATTAATTGTGGCTTTTAGCCAATAACAATAAACTAACAATTAATGACGGTTGCACTTGCATGTAGCCAACGTGGTGGCCTTTGTCCATACTTTCTGGTTTTCCTCGTACTCCAGCTTATGTTAATACTTCAGGTGCAAGTTCACAATTTTAGGGTTAGATTTAGCTGCTCCACACAGCCTTCTACCATTTGGCTCACATGCATGCCTGATAGTGATAGTGTGACACAAATATGCAGTATCACATCGCGCTAATTGCAGTAATTGCAAAGCGGCAGATATTAATTGTTGACAGTTTCACTGATGATTAATTGCACACAACACAATTTTTCCCAACCCTAATATAAAGAGAGCCATCCATTTCCATCTATTAAAGCTTAACCTGTCACATTTACAGTTGTAGGATCCAGGAATGCAAACTGAAATGAAGAACTTGAGTAAAAATGCAATCATAGTTTAACATARACAAAAAGCTGGCATAGAGTGGAGACACCTGGGCATAATGACAACTGGAAACAGGTGTGAGTAGGCGGAGCAGGAAGCTGAGTAGCAGAAACCTACTGAGGGGAAATTAACTGGTGTCATAGCGAAAATACAGGGAAGCAATAAAACCAACTAAAACCCACTGAAAGTAAACACTGAAAAACACAGATCATGACATTTCTTTGTGTGCTTGAAATATTTTAAGGTCATATGCTCCAGTTTTCACTTCCTGCATGCCTGTTATCATTTACCTAGCTTACTGAAGTCATCATGAGATAAAAATGTGTATCAAACAGAACCTCATACTTCCCTATAGACTAACCATGGTGGTTCCCCGACACCATGAGTCAGGTGTAAGAATGGTACCCCTCATGTAAAGCTGGAAAGATGTGAGCAGGTGTTACCTGGCAGCAACCATTTCAGAGGAAGGAGGTGGGAGTCCTGACTGATAACGCAAGATGTAGCAATGTTTTAAAGAAGCTAAACCCAGACTTTTGTTATGTAACGGGGTGCAGTGTCTCTGAGGGGACAGTTTACGATGTCCAGAGGATTGTTAATAGTCTCAGCCAAACACTCACAAATTTCCACAATGAATAAGGCTGGCGGAAGGAGGAGGGGCACAAGATAACACCTCTAAAAAAAGCAGGTGCTATTTCTGTCATCCCCTCCTGCTCCTCCTCCTCCTCCTCCTCCACATTCTCAGTCATGTCCCTTCTGTGCAGGGGTAGAAATTTAAAAATGACCAGTAGAGCTTTATTTATGTGCCAACATTTCACAAGTTTTTTTCCTGTCATCAAATAAAACRGAAGATAAATGTCAACATGCGACTTAGCTAAATGTTTTCATTCCTGCTCAACAAAGAGAAGAAATATCTATGAAACCTAGTGTATTTAAAAATGTAAATGTAGAGTTATTGTCCTGATGTCTGTGTTTAGTGCTAAGGTTCAGCTGTTTGACCAGCTCAAACCAGTCTTGAAGCACAAGGTTTTCTTATTAACTGGAATTTAACTGGGCTCAAAGTGGTGTCGTCTTTTAGGTGAAGACAGAATTTGTTACAATTCTGTAATATTTTTAGTGTCGGCTAGGACCAGAACATACATCCTGAATCCATCAACCTTCTCAGAACATCAACCTGAAATGTTATCTTTGTTTCATCCTAAGTTAGATAAATAAAATATGCACATTTTAGAAACTCCTTGTTTCGGTTTATTTGAAATTAGTTGCCTTTCTACAGTTAGTTAGCCCTGAATTGTGTCAATCTCCTAACTTTAACTTTACTAAGTTAATTTTATTTTCTTAAATCACAAACCGAAACAATCTTCTGTACTATGTTTCAATATTACATTTTGGCTTTTAAAGTGAAAGCTTGGCTAAAAAGTTTGGTTTTACTTTCATTTTTTGTTTTGAGTTTTATTTTTAGTCCATGTTGTTTAATTTCTTCAGTACTTATGTAACATCCTGTCATATGTCTCTCTCTGTCCAGAATATCCATGAGCTCCGATTTCCCACACTACAGTTTCAGGATGCCAAATATAGGGTTCCAGAACCTTCCCCTCAATATCTACATTGTGGTTTTTGGGACAGCCATCTTTGTCTTCATCCTCAGCCTCCTCTTCTGCTGCTACCTGATAAGGTAAGAGCTATTCACCTTTTAGCTTTTGATTAGATTAGTAGTAATTGTTTGTTGTGTATGATGTGGGAAAAAAGTGTCATACAGGGTTTTATTAGGTAAGCCACTTGACTGGGTGCATCAAATCATTGATCTGTTGATTAAAATCCTGGCTCTGCAAAAAGCCAGGATACAAAACGCATACTGTATATTAATTTTTAAATGGTTTTGCGAGGGTAATCTTAGAAAGTAAAAATGATACTTTGCAGTAGTATTTATTAGAAGTACGTTTACTTTGTTACAGTACTTAAATGACTTTTTAGAGGACTTGTAATTTTACCAAGTATTTTTTTTAATTGTGACTTTCACTTTTAGTTTGTTACATTCAAAATGATATGTGTACTTCTTTACACTACGAGTGACCAGAACTCATCATGAAAAGAGATGCACTCTAAAAATTGATTGATTGTATGCAAGTTTTATAAGTAAATGATCAATTAGATCCTGTCACTTTTAAACTTTTCTAAATATGTAATTAATAAACTTAATTAAAAAAAATGCCATCCCATTTTATTTTAAGAGAGAATAGAGTACAGGTATAATCAGTGACCTGTAGGGAACAAAAGGTTTTGGAAAGCAATCTGTCAGCGCCGCTATTTAACATGAAAATAACAAAAACCCAACATTAACATCATTATACAACTTGTTCTATTAGGTCTCTTGGGCTCATTAAATATTTTTCCTGTATTACTGTGGCTTTGTGCACACTGGTTTGTGCATAACCAGGATACATGAACAGGGATTTATTAGGAGTAATTATGTATTTGCGCAGGAAACTCTGATGTCTTTTTATTCATAAAGTAGAAACTCAGTAGTGTGAGTCAGCACTAAACCCACACAGTATCTGCACCCTGAAAATCGCATGCAGACAATTTATCTTTAAATTTATAAAAAAAAAACATTATATACACTTAGTTTGACACCAACATACCATAACTGTCTGACACTTGTCACCACTGTTTTGTTGCCATCTTATAAAATGATATAAAATGTCATTTTGTTTTTCCTTTTTTATCAAGGTTATTTTGTATTTACCTTACGAAGACTTTTTTTTTTCAACAGCACAGTTTGGAGACTGTCTATCTGATAGTACAATTGGAGCAATTTTTAGCTGATTTATCTATAAAAATAATCTGAGATACAGAGTTGCTAATTTATTTGATAATGTCAAAAACGCTCGCTAAAAAGCTTTTCTAATCTTATTGGCCTCATTTTACTTTTTATTAATTACTGGTACTTCTTATGGTAAAAGTATTAAACTCCCACTTTGATTTTATTTCTGTTAGTTTTAATTGTTTATGTTAATCTTGCGAGAACTCATTTTTTTCCAACATATTTTAAGTTTAATTCTTTTATTATCTACTATAACAAACTGGTTAGTCTTTTACCATTATTTTCAAACCAACAAATTTAATCTGGTTATCCTCAGTTCTGGTTTTATTAATTTTTTTCCTGGTATTAGCAAACTGAACTCAAATAATGCACTGCATTGTTTTATCTAAGACAGTGAGAAGCACCAGTTCCCTATAAATATCTCCCCTCGCCATCCTGTCTTATCCTATCTTGCAGGGCACATGGTAAGTAAAGTTACTACTATTACAATTCTTCAACTTCCTGTAAAGAAGAATCACTTTATGACTTTTATGCAGTACGTTAATTTAGTACTTAAAAGTCAAAGATTGGGAGTTTAGTCACTAAAGGCAATGAGAGCAAAGATGCAGCCTCTCAAATGAGCAGTTTAGCATTACTGGGGAATAAGAAATAATGCATAATTAATATGTTCTTTAGTCTTTTTATAAACACAGACAGGAGATTAGTCTCACATGAGAAATATAATTATAGCCACATTTTTTGGGGCAGGTTTGGGTCATTCTTGATTAGTTTCTGTCAGTCATGATTTATATAAATGCTGTCATTGTGTAAAAGAAAAATGATCCATCTCTGACCTCAGACTTCATTATGAATCTCAGGTCAGACTCAGAAGCCACAAAAGGGTTTGGGAAGTGAAGTCGTCACTCCTGTTTTATTGCCAGATCAATGCAAAGACCACTGTTAGAGCTGACGTGACATTCCAGCAGAAGCACATTGACACACACACTTTGACACAAGACGGACTCTCACAGAAACACTCCACTGCCTCTCTCAGTGGTTCTCCAGACCATACACTCATGTGTAAAGTATGCAGCGAGGTCTTTTCTGTAAATAAAGGATCACAAATAATTAGCTAATTCATCCGCTCAATCAAAGGATTAACAAATTCTTAGAAGTATTTATAAAAAGGACTGTTGCAAAACTTTAGTTTCTGTTAGTAAAATATTAGATTAAATCACTTTGTTTTCAACAAACAATATTTAACTTTCTAGTCACTAGTTAATACTATATTGAATGTAATGTCGTACTAGACCTGTTTAAACCCCCCGTCAATCATCCAGTGACCCTTAACTTTGTCCCCCTACCTTTGGGAGTGTCTGCACCTTTACCTGCTGACCTCTTTCAGAATGTCAGTTTGTCTCCTAGACTGTGCTGCTTGTTTTACAGATCCCTCTCACACTGCTGCGAGAGGTTAAGATTACTAGTAATGGAGGTAAATCTTACAAACTTATGATTTTTTTTCCCTATCTCTCCTACTTTTTTTATTCCCCCCACCCCTCCTTATTTCTATGTATTTTACTCTCCCTCTCAGTACCAAGAGTTTCCTCTTATTCAGTGTTTGTCATGTTTTCGCACTCATCTCTCAGATGTTTTGTTACTTAAACTCAAGTTGTTTCTGTCACTCCTCTTCTAACTCAGAGTTGTGTAGTTGGGCATAAAAGGCCCCAACAACCTCTCTGTTTATTGATTTATTTTTTTAAAGTCTGATCGTATCTGTTCCAGTTGATATGTTATCTTAAGTTACATATTTTTGGGGAAAACAAGGCTTATCTGTTACTATTTAACTAGGCTTACTGTTGAATTAGTATGCAAAGTAAATATTTAACAAGTGTGTATTATTATTATTATTATTATTATTATTATTATTATTATTATTATTATTATTATTATTATTATTATTATTATTATTATGTTTTAGAATATATTTCACTTGTGTTATTTTGTTTGCTGAAATTGTTGGTCTCATTGTGTAGGCTCATCAGTGTTTGGGAGATTTGTACATGAGACAGAAACCATGCTGCCATGTATGATACACTTCCCAGACATTTGTTTTTCTTTTTCAGAAAATCACTTTGGTCTTTCTTGTTCGCCTTTTTTTTCTGTAAAATATATGTGTTGCAGTTTGTTGTTTAATGCTTTGTGATGGAGAATTAGCTTCTTTTTTAATAATATGTATCTTTTTTTATTTCTGAATTTTTACAGGATGTGTAGATATGTATTTATGTTGAAGTCGGTAAAAAAAATCACCTACTAATCAGAAAGATATTCTGTCTTTACTTTTCTCCAGGTTACGGCACCAGGCACACAAAGAGCTGTATGCATACAAACAAGTAAGAACATGCACACGCAAATAATCATGAAAGCTCACTTTACTTCCTATTATAGTTTAGCTGTTGTAAGGTTTAGATTTTGCTTTGCRTGCATTCAAGTGTTGCATTGCTCAACTTGTCATTGAGAGCATGCAAAATAAGTTTTGAATTTGGGAGACTGGTTCTGAGCTGAGCATTGCAGCAGAGCAGAGCTTCCAAACACTTTAAGATAGAGATACAGGATATTGACCTGACCTGTTTTTACACATTGGTGTTACAGAACTGAAGGACTTGACAAATGTTTCAAAATTAATGTGCGTGAACACAAAAACTCACACTCTGGCAGTGCAAATATTTTAATGAGTGTTGCTCCCAGGTTTTGTGTCCTTGTGTATATTATCACCTGCCAGCTAAATACATCATGCCCAGCTCCTGGTGGTTATATAACACGTTTGTACAAACATTCAAATTCAGTACACACACACACACAGACACACACACACAAACAGGCAATGCTTATGAGAATGTGTTGAAAGTCCGTGTTTGTGTTTCAGATTTTTTGCAACAGATTTTAATGAGATTTCATTTTGTCTAATTACTCTTTTTGTCATATTATACCTTTCAGGTTATTCAAAAGGAAAAAGTCAAAGAGTTAAACTTACATGAGGTAGGTTTCATCATCTTTCATTAACTACATTTTGATATAAAAATGTCCCATTTTTTATTTTGCTGTCCGGAACATGTTCTCATTTAATCAGAGAAGTACACACTGTACTGTGATATCAGAAAATTTGGGACTTATCTGATGTTTTCAACAATTCTATTTATTATTAAGGCAAATTTATCACAAATTAAAATCTTACAATAAAAAAATATTGGCAACAATACCAATGATCTGTCTTTAAATAACCAGACTCGTAGCTTTTTCCACATCTGTCTGGTGACTTCTACTCAAAAGCTGATTTTGCTGCCCTCCAATCTGCTTTTAATTCATTTATTAAATTAATCTGAAAACAGCAAGCATTTTTGACAAAATATTGACCTAAATTCTGATTTTATTGATCAGAATTGACTAGATTGGGTTATTTTTTCCCCCAATTGAAACCTAGAAAATCGCAAAACATTTTTCAGTAAGGGAAACCTGCAAATTGATTAATCTAGATTAATTTACGCATCCATTTCCAGCAATAAATCTGACTACTTTATTTGTTTAAATTAAGTATTCAATGCTTAGTTTATTGTTGAGCAGGTACCCAAAAAATATTTTGGCCCTCAGATTCTTCTGACTTTATGATTTTGTCCCGTGTGACAAAATGTTTGGACACCCCTGATTTAGAATAAATTGTCATACCATGAGTACTCAACTACCGTCCTTTAGTCACATGACTGTCATGGGAAGACTACTGTCCTGGTATTAATTCATCATCATTACACAATGCCGTACCTCAGCTGAACTTGTGTGGAAAATTACAGGCAGCATTTAAAACAGCTAGACTGGCTTTGCAGTGAAACATAACTTCAGTACTAAAGAAATCTTAGCATTAGTGTCCTCATATRTGCACAGTTAAACAGCGGTGTTTGAATTCCCCGGTGTCTCGTGAACGTTCAGGGCCCGTATGTTTATTTTGTTAGAAACTGAAAGAAAGCAACAAAAAGTGTCATGTGAGTCACGTTTGCAACTATATAAACTATCTTTTTTTGTTTAGTTTTCCTGCCAAAGAACAATAGCACACGCTCGGTCATGGTTGGATGACCCACTTCTGATTTCAAAGGCTTATCCTTGAGACTTGAGTATAGCCGGGGTTGTTTTTCAGCGTTTCAGTGGAATGTATAGAAAAAGAGCGCTGCGTGAGATTTGTTTACATGTCAAGGCATGTTTGCATATTTTTGATGTGTAACTTTACCAGCTTTCCTGGAAGAGTACTTCTTTTTACTTTGAGTTTATCCTAAAGTTAACTGATCTACAGCTCTGAGACAGATTAAAAAACACTGCAAACCTACCAGTTTTGTTGTTTTTTTCTCTTATTTTACTATAAAGTATGTGTTTGAGTAAAATGAACATACCTCCATACCTGCAATAACATGAAATATAAATACTTCTTAGTCGTCTTCTTTTTTATGATTAAGCAAGCAGTCAGTATGCCCCCGTGTGTGTGTGTGTGTGTTTTTATTTATTTTTAGCTTTTGCACTTGGAGAAAGTTCATCATGAGCTCAATCAACAAATCTAATCTAATTGTCTCTTGTAGTTATTTATATTTCGTGTTTAATCTTAATATAATTCAAAGATAAAGTAAGCAGTGAGTGAATGGAATCACTTAGTGGAAATACAGTGTTTCTATAGGGCATCAAGTTACATCCTGAGATTACATCCTAACCAGTGCAACTGGCAGGCCAAATGAAATGTGGGCCAATTTTGAACCCCAGTTTGGGCACCTCTGATTCAGAGACAAATGGTAAGAATGACAAAAGGATTCTGTGTTTTCAGACATTAAATAATGCAAATAAAACAGGGTTATATAAAGTTTTAGTCATCACAGTCCTAATATTTCCACCCAGGGAGAGATCAGAAATAAATATTTGGTGTAGTAACACTGATTTTTTTWAATCTCGTCTTTCATTTTGGCATGTTCTCCATCAAGCTTTCACATTGCTGTTGAGTCTTTTTTTTCACTTCTGATACAAAAAAGTTTTATCAGTTCAGGTCTGGAGGTCAGTTCAGGTCTTGATCTGATGGTCCYTAATGTCCCTGGGGAAAAATGCATTGTTGTAACCAAGTTAAAGTTCAAGAATACATCAAGTCAGGGAGTTATCCTAGGTGTTTTTCTGTCACTGAGTCGTTTGGCTCAAATGAGTTTTATTATGTGTGTTAAATTAATGTACATATTTTATGTGGTGTTACTATAGTAAAACTTTTTTCTCACTTTTTTGAATTCTAATTAGAGACCAGAACGAAGCTAAGCTTATTACTGATTTGCCCTTGGAATGACAAAACTCCTGAATTAACCCACTTTTTAAAATAAGCTAATAATCTCTTTGGGTTCTTTTTTTAATGTATTCAGCTGTATAATGTTTGATTTGTCTGTAATTGGGAACAYTTTTAAGTAAAGCTTAAAGGGAACAGAGAGAAGAATTTGTTTTTGTTGGGTAGCCAAGGGTGTCAGATTTCAGTTGAGAGTACGACCCCCGCAGACAAGACACAAAAAAAGTAAAAGACTGATCTGTTCACCAAAAAAAAAAAAAGGTGGGCAAAGCAGACATCCTCACAAAAGGCTGCTGTACTCAAAACCCTTCAGGAGAGAAAGCTAAGAGCCCCCATGCAGCTCCTTTCACCCGTCGATGTCACCTTTAAATCTTGTGTGGCCAAAGAAGGGGCTGTTGCAGCCAAAATAGGAGAGTCAAATAAAAAATCTTCTCCCCCACCCCCTTTGGGTGAATGAAGTTTTTTGAATGAGGGGAAGGTCTAACGACTTCTTTGCCTCTGTTTTAGCATTTTGAAGTTCCTGTCAGCTGCTGAATGGGTCACTGCTAAAATAGGAGAGTCTGTTGTAAGCAGTGCGGTCAGTCATTTCGGGTCAGCGGCCACACATGAGCTGCATACTTCTCCCATAACAGGAGAGTCACATGTGGGGTCAGTTACTGTTAGCCATTTTCCACAACATAAGTGCTGCATTTTGAGCAAGCTCATTTTTATCAGTGTTTTTTTTTTTTGTCAGCAAGCACCCCTTCATTATTGTTATTGACACTGTAGGTCGACCCTGGAATTAAACCTGTCATTTCATTATTAATTGGTTGTCTGAATGCCTGGGACAGGCCGGAGACACGGTCTGCTCATGTTAGTATATACTGTATTTGGATTCTAGAAAAGTCCGAACAGCATTTGCTGTCTTGAAACCAGCAGCTCTGCAGATGTTTGATCCCACCTGTTATTACTCGAGATGTGCAGTGGCTACAGTAAACATGTGCCTCTTGGCATGGTGTAAGGTCCCCGACTGTTGATCTGCATGATTGAAAATGCAGATAAAAGAAAACAGAGTTCTTTGGCAAATGTTTCCAGGGTACAGAGCTTTTCATATAGAATTTAAAGACCCTCTGAGTGGCAGCGGGATTTATTGCATTATTTTTGTGGTTTTGCAAGAGAGCCAGCTTTTTGTTGCGGTGCAGAAACTAAGTTWAAAAACTAAAAGATCTTAATTTGACACTGATTTTTATTTTAATTAGTAAATTTACATACTATAATAACTGTTTACAGCAAAGTCATAGTTTCCCCCCCAAATATCTACACTGCCTGGCCAAAAGAAAGTCGCTATTTCATTGGACCGTCTTTAGCTTTGATTACAGCATGTGTTTGCTGTGGTATTGTTGAATTAATTTTTCACCAAGATCTTGCATTGATGATGGTAGACTCTGACCTTCTCCAGCACATCCCAAAGATTCTCAATGGACTCTGTGGAGTCAATCCATGTGTGAAAATGATGTCTCATGCTCCCTAAACCACTCTTTCACAATTCGAGTTTGATGAATCCTGGCATTGTCATCTTGGAATATGTCCGTGTAAAAAGGGAAGAAAACAATCCATTGATGGAATAACTGCTCATTCAGTATGTTCAGGTCAGCTGACCTCATTCTATGAGCACATACTGTTGCTGAACCTGGACCTGACCACCTGCAGCAACCACAGATCACTTAGTTAAATCCAGGTGGAGACCTGGCCAGGCAGTGTCTGGTGCTGCTAAAAGCTGCACCTAAAATCAAAGTGAACTTCAGTAATTGAAACAATGTTGCTTCATGTGATTATAGCATAGTCTCAAAACATTAGTCAGTCAGAAAAGTGGAAAAAATAATATCTCAGTAACCAGTTTGTGTGTCAACTATTGTACTGTTGTTTAACCAGGCAAATCACCGATCTCTTTTTYAAGGGAGGCCTGGGCCTGAAGGCAACCTATTGTACAGGGTTTTGGGGTGTGGGGGAAACCAAGAGTACCTGGAGAAAACCCATGCAAGCATGAGGAGAACATGYAAACTCCGCACAGAAAGACCCCAGGTCCAAATCGGGGATTGAACCCACGACCTTCTTGCTGTGAGGTGTTGGTGCTAACCACTGAGCTGGCATGGATTTTCCAGTATAACTCACTCTGTCCTGTTGTGGATATAATTTCAGCAGTTCAGTGAAAAAAAGTACACACACAAAGTTATCCTCAGTATTATCGATGCTGTACAGCCAGTAGGATAACGGTGTAACAACCTCTTCATCAAGTAAAAAAAAAAAAAAACCTTTTATTTCCACTTTTGGCTTTTGAGTCTACAGCTTAAAAACAAAACCTAATAAAGTTGCCTTTGTGTTTTTTCTCTATTAAATACCAAAACTTTGCTTGCCAGAGGAGTTTTATAAGTGGACTTAGCTGGTCAGTGACTCTATTGGTGTTTTTTTTTTTTTAACTCCGAGTGTTTTTATTGTGGTGATTTTGGCCACAGCTGTTTTTGTTTCCCTGTGAACCCCACATTTGCCRTCTGAGTGGTTCATTTCCAATCCACTAACACAAAACTGAGATTAAGATGAAAAGAACCAAAACCACAGAAAAACCAACATTTTTGTTGTTACTGCGTGCCTTTCTAAAGACAATGTCTGTCTTTTTTCTCTCTCTCTCTTCAGATATGTGCAGTGTGCTTGGAGGAGTTTAAACAGAAAGACGAGCTGGGGATTTGTCCGTGTAAACATGCCTTTCATCGGAAGTAAGTATACGCTCCTGTGTTGCTGATAAAATCGTAAAATACTCACTGAGGCAAAGATGTAAGCATTGGTACAGATTTTTCTCATTTTGATTAACGTGTTTACAGTGTAAGGTAACACAAGACATGATGGATTACTGGAGCTAACTTTTATCCAACACTTCCCTCCCCATCTTTGTCTTTTTTTAACTGACTTGTTTACATCAGCATGAGACCTTCTGTGACCTAGATTTTCCCCCAGTTGTCACGAGTGGTGACCATGTACGTCTTTTAATTCGTTTACTAGTAAAAACTTTTTATTTTTTTTCTCTTATTAGTGGTGTTTTTAATAGCAAAAGATTAAAAAAAGGGTAGACTCTGGATTATAACAGTAAAAGAGCAGTTTAAACAAGTCATGGTCAGAAAATCTGCCTGTGACATCAACATTTTGTAATAAACATGAATGCATTTTTGTAAAATTAACATTAAAAACATATTGCAAAACAAATTTCATGCCGCTTTAATGAAGAGTTGGGTTATTTGCACGTGTAGTAACAGGAAGTGATGACAAAGGGGAATGTCTGCATGTGAACAGAGCATTGCTATGGCCAACAACACAAACTGTGAAGAAGAATTTCATATTTCTTTCATTTATTTTGAGTGACTGTCAGAGAGAGGTCAGAGTTCAGATAATATTGTTTCAACAAACAAAGACCAGAGTTCCYCTTTGATGTCACTTCCTGTTTCACTTTGGCAGAGCAGAGTTTAAAAAAATCTGCCATTTATGTGGCAAAATGGACAAAATTGTGTATTATGCTAAGTTTCTTTAAATATAAATCTTAAACATGCCCAGGTGAAAAAGTATTATATTAAGTATACTAAGTCTTAAGTATACTGTATACTTGAAGCCGCACTAATCATCAGTATACTGTATTTAAAGCGTGCTATTTTGGAACAACTAATTTAATACTAAATATACTTTAGTTGTATTTAAGTTGTACAAAAGCACAATTTTTTAAAGTGTATTAAGCATACTTTTAAATACTAAAATGGAACAACTTCAAATATACTTAGTACACTTTAAGTGTATAATTTTGTCTATACACTTAAAAAGTAAAATGCAGTCTATTTAAAATATACTTTAGTATATATATATTTTTGCCTGGGTGTTAAGGGTTTTGTACCATATCTGTTTAAATATTTTGTATCATTGTCCTCAAAGCATTTTCCTCCTGYGTTTTCAGTGACAGTTGGTAGTTTTCACCCACGTTTTGATGTTCCCCTTCAAATGTGTCCTAATAAATAATATGGGTCACATATGGACAGAAACTTCTTATTTGGGCCTCTTTGGCCTGCAGTGTGAACGCAGCCTTAATAGTCCAATCTGTCAAAGGAAATAGTACTGTCAAGGAAAAGTTTTGTTTTGTAAATAGAGTTTTCCTTTAGTTCCGTGTTTACCCTACAACACAACATATAGGGGTGAGAATAACACCTGTAACGGGTCGAGAGTAGCTTCGTGGCTCTTGGTTGTTTCTGACCTGACAAGAGTTCACCGGGCCTTTTAGAGAGGGTGTTTTCTAATACATTTAACCTGGTTTGTTTTTCTCACAGATGCCTCATTAAGTGGTTGGAGGTGAGGAAAGTGTGCCCGCTGTGCAACATGCCCGTCCTGCAGCTCGCCCAGCAGGCGGGCGCCCCGCCGGACCCCCCCGGGCCCGTTCAGCAGCCTTTACCTGGCGTGGAGAATCTGGTGTAGCTGTACATCCAGCCTCCTGTCACAGTACACAACAGACGCACAGAAATCCACCCCAACACGCTCACCTTTATAAAGGTGCAMTTTGGTTTGAGTGTGTGAAGAGACTGGAAAAAAACAACAAAAACTGGAGTTACTGCACATAAAAAAACATCACAAACTGTGATTTTAGCAGCTGCTATCACTTTTTTTAAAATATTAGCATCCGTTAGAAGATAAAACGATGGATTTCCTTCATCAGAGCTGACGGATAATCAGCTGCTCTCATTTTTTATTTTTGTTTCAAGGACAATGAAGTCGAGCTGATATAGAAGAAGTTTTCTTTTGTCACTTTTTCACAACCAAAGCGCTTTTCTGGAGGACACAGATGAAAGACCAGGAGGAAGAAATCACAAAAGCCAAGAACTTCATCACACTAAATATTTTCTTTTTATTCTTTTAAAAACAAGCACTTTATAAAAAGGCAAACCTTCATTTGCTTGTGGCTCTGAGTCCCAATGTAGTTCTATATTTTTTCTTTAATATTATATCCTTAACTATTATTTTTGCGTGTTGCAGTTTTCATTTCCAATTGATTAACTTCTTTTTTTTTTGTCTTTCTAATATATCTTAAAGGGACAATAACGGCGACCATGGTGGAGAGCACTGGGTTGTGTACAGAAACAACGAACAACTTAAAAAAAGTCTAACTGTGAAATATAACATTTTTAAGAAAAACACAAAAGTACTCTGTTCTCCAGGCATTATTCCTGTTTGTTTTTTATTATTTATTTTTTTATTCAGGATCTCACCAATAGAAAACAACGTTTCTGAGTTCTTACTGTGATTTTTAACCAGTGTTACTGCCCGTACCGTTCTGCTTTGTCTCGAAACTCTGGCACAGAACAAACACCTGCAGTTTTACAACAATTAACATTTCTGAGGTGATTTGAAGATKTTTAATTGCTCTGCTGCTGCTTTTCTTTTTACTCATTAATGTAAYGGTGAATAGCTTCAGGTTAAAGTTTCTATATTCGAAAAAAATACGAAAACAGATCAAGAAATGTTAAATCTTTAAACAAAACTGCAAAAGTCACACAGCACATCTTRCAACAAACTGACTTTTGGAACAAATTCCTTCCTCAAAGTGTACTGAAAGCCTTGTTACTGTTCTACCCTGTCAGAGTACATCTATTTATTACTCTTTCTTTTTATTTATCATCATTTCTTGGTACTGCTGCTTTGAGAGGATGGGTTATTGGATTGAAAGCATGAGTTGCAGCCCCCAGCGTGCGCTCAGCGGGTCTGTTGGGTCGACAGCTGGAGCTGCAGAACTCTGTTGTCAGCAGGTTGAGAAGAAGCGGCGTTTTCATCCACGCAGACACACGGCTCCGTTCAGCTTTTATGGCTGCTCTGTTCTGGTGCTTTCGCCTCTGTGTCTCTTTCTGTACGGTACACGGTGCTTTTTGTTCACCTCTGAGCCCTGCATTTTTTTTGTTTTGTTTTGTTTGCTGCATTTAGTTAAAGTTTATTGTTACTGCTTTGAAAAGCTTTATTATGGGATCCCCAGTGACATCAGGGGGGAAAATAGCTTCTCCGTGGCTACAAATAAAGTGGATATCATAATGGATTCTAAGATTTAAATAAAGTTAAATCAAATTTATGCTTGCTAAATGTGCAGTCATAACCTTAAAGGACATTGTTCACTATCGGATCACCGTTCTGTATCTTGTATTCACAATTATGTTAACAGCTTCCACATTCAGACATTAATGACTATCATGCAGTAAATATTTAATGCAAGTCTATAATTAATTGTCTTTTGCAGACGTAAGTAACTTGTGGCCACAGAGAATTATTTATTCCCACTGATGTCACACAGGAGTCTGTGTTTCACAGTGATGGATGTAAGATAAGTCAGAGATAGACGGTCATATATAAACCTGTTTATTACACAATCTCTGAAAAGCCCCACTTTTAAAAGAACAAAGCTTTCTATGAAAATTACCACAATAAATATTTAGATTTTGATTAAAATGAGAATTCACTGTTTTAACGAGGGTTGTATTGCATAACGTTTATTAATTTAGTAATTAATAGTGAAAATTATTCATGTAAATAAAATTGTGCTGATAAGTGGGAAAAATGTTCATATTTAAAGATTTGCCTATTTACATTTCTCACYACGCCACTGGTTGACTTTAACCCCCTGATTTTTTTTAACATCACTTCTAGTCGGCTAATAATTTCTTCATGTGTCAGAAAGCGGTGGTCACTCTTCCTCTGCTTTGAATGTTTGCTCCTCTGTTGAATTGTCTTCAGAGAACGCAGCGAGGCGGCAGCAAATGCAGGGTTTGTTCATTAAATCTGGTGCAGTTTTATCACACAAATGCAGAAACAGGAATTAWTGCTCATTTTTAAGAAGCCTTGCACCCACCCTTTTGTTATAAACACAAAACTGCCACGGTTACAAAGAATCTGTACTGAATTYCATCCTATTTGCCAAACCTCTGTTAGAAATATCTTGTATTGAAGAAAGAACAAAACTGAAGGGCCTTTGTCTTGTCGTGTGATGTACTGTAGACTCTGTAGTTGTTGGTTATGAAGAGGCTGTGACTGTTTTTGATGAATTTGTCTCCTCCAGTTNCCCCTATCCTTCGCCCCCAAATGACCCCGTTTATAACTCAAGTCTTAAAGCTTTGTTAACAGAAGAATCACACCAGAAGGGAAGAGGCTTACCACGAAAGCATGCTGCTTTGCATCCCTGTTCAGTGCAAATGCTAAGAATCACTCTTATATTCAGAGAAAAAGGTAAAGCACAAGAAGTGCACCTCCATCACTTGCYGCTCGCCCATCTTTAATGTTTGTGGACACTTTTTACATGAGAGCTTCCCYGTTTTCTTCCCACGTTATGCCGTCCTAATCCCACCGAAAGTCGAAGTGCCAAAATAAAGCACGACATGTCCTGAATTGAAGCCTGAGCCAACAAAGACAGAAGAGAAAAAAGAAGGAGCGAACCGGTCGTGAATACAGTTCTAACGTCTTCCCACTGCTGAAATCATCACTGACGTCAGTGTTATAAATAGACACACGGTCAGGACACCGCTTCCCATGAAATATTTACTGATACTGAGGGAGAGAGATGAGCTGATGCTGTCAGGGAGGCTCTGTGCCATCAGCCTTTTACGGCACAGTGTTTCATGGAAAATGGTGTGCTCCAAGAATTGGACGCTTTTATTGACAAAATAAGGCATGTAGGAGGGCTTTATTTTGTTGTCCATGATCAGTTTGAGCAACCAGGACGTTTCTGATCAGTAACCTCTATCACTGCCTTGTTAAAGTGAATCATCTAGTTTGTAACGTGTCTCATTTGTTCCACTGTAGCTATTTTAATCTTTCAAAATACCCACCCCCACACACACCTTTTATTTTTAGTCCACACACCCGTTCCCTCCCTCCTGACCTCCCTCACATTTTATTATAATTTTTTTAACACTGATTATGTTTGTGAACATTCACAGACATTGTTTGTAAAACTAAAAATTCTGCAGCAGAATATTTTTGGAGACAATTTGCTGTACAGTATTTGTAAGCTCTATTTTTGTATATTGCTTTCTTTTGAAGGGGTTGGGGGGAATATAATAATAATATGCATTTTTTTTGTTGCTAATTTTTTGTTTACTCATTTTAAGAAAATGTTGCATGTAACTGACTTGAACTGTAAATAAAATTTCCAAGTTTTGGAAAGATTTCTTTGGTTTCTGTTTTTGTTACATGAAAATATTTGACATTTCATAGATGAATGTTGAGCTCTTTGGGTGAAATATGGAAAATGTATATTTTAACTAAGTTCACCAGGAGTACATCCAAATTGTGCATACTTAACATTAGAAAAAATATCTGTTTTGTATCTTAATGTTTTATATTAGTTTTGCATCTTAATATGAAACAGTAAATTTTAAACAGCATAAGAAATACAATACCAGTTTTGTTAAATTCTATCAGTAAATTCAAGATTTGAGGTTTTATAAGGTCATGAGAACTTTCTGAATGATGCAACACTGCTACCTTGTGTTTAAATAATATACTTTTTTTAGTTCATTTTTAATAATGTCTTCAAAATCAATAAGAATACGATTTTACATAAAAAACTAAGCCTTAAGCAACTTTAAGATAACCCCTAAATTAAAATGAGCATTTTCCACAAATAAAACATTTAAAATAAATATTTCCTTATTTTCTGACCAATAATTAGGTTGTTACCTGTATTTTTAAAACAAGTTTAGGTGGAGGGTTCAAATGATCTCAGAAGTCAAACAAAAATTGCCAAGGCTGTTTATTTATCATTACTGCTACAAAAGCTAAAAACACTAATCATAAGTGAGTATAGGCAGTCCAGTACCAGTGCAAGCTGCTTGTTTTTTTAGGTTTTTAGCAAACTTTGTACAATCATATTGCTAGGCTTTCAAATCTGAATCGAATAAATTTGGGAACCACAGAAACCACTGTTGTGTTTAGGCTCCTGTTTACCTAGTAGTTAAAAAAACAGCTTTTAATTAGGAAAACACTTGATGTAAAACAAWTGTTTTATTTTGAACTCATTTGAGTAAATATTTAGTAAAATGTAGTGAATCCCTTTAGGTTGACATCACAGAGAAAAGTAATCATCAGCTGTCTTTTCTAGTCGAATAGCACCTCCTTGTGGTTAAGTAGTGGTACAATTATTTTTAAATGATATGTAAGCTTTTAGTACTGCATTATCAGTTTTGGCACTTTTAAATGTTTTTTTTTTTTTTTACTGCTAATACAGTTTAATAGTACATTTTACACCCTAAATGTCAAAATCAAGAAACTGTAAACTTCAAAAATCTGATACTTGTCTGAGATGTACAATTGTAGGAATGCATTATCAGAAAGATAACTGCAAAACAAATCAAACACTGCTAAAATTAACTGTTGAGATATTCTCACATTGAGTAACGGCACTTCCTGTCTCTCTTTGGCCRCACCAAGTCCAAAACCATGTGCAAGTTTTGTGACAAAAAAGGTAAAACTGTTAGCAAGATACTAAAATATTAAGATTTACAATGTGTCAGACACCATAGATWTAAAGAAGTAGCTCAAAATAAACCACTCAGAACTCAGAGTAGGTTTTATCTCTTAGCTGCTGTTACAATGTCCACTTCAGTGATTTGTTGTGCCACTTTCATTTTCATAAAATTTCAAACAAATATTAAGTATTTCTGGAAATAAATATCATCACTAGTTAGTGATCACATAAACAAAATTTAACTAACAGACATGTTTTGAGTCTGAACAGCTTTGTTATTAAAAAGCATAATGAATTTGAGTTGAGTATTTAATCCATTTTTTAAAGAAATCTTTCTAAATTATTTAACAAACCTAGTTTTGATTCAGCTACAAAAAACAAATGGTGCGATACCATATAGATTTATTTTGTAAAATATCAACCAGAAGTTGTTTTTGTTGATTAAACAAGATAAAAATAATTAGTTAGCTAGTCTTGTGAAAGACAAACCAAAACAACATGCAGACATAAATACTGAGCATTTTATTGTCAGAAAGGTTTTAAGTAAGGTCCTGCTGCACATGTTTTTGTGTTTTTTTGTTTTTCACGTTTTGCTTCTGGGTCTTCTGCAGCAGAGCCAGCGTGTCTCGCTTCTCAATTTTCCTGAGCTGCTTCTTCTTCATTCTCTTGATCTTTGCTGTGTTACGGATCTGGAAAACAGGGAAGACAGGTTTAACATACATCGATTAGAAACAGTATTTGCCACCATTGGATGTGAAAGTGACATTTACACGTCACCGTGTTAAAGGTTCTGACGTACCACTTGAACAATCTCAGATTTGCGTTCATTCTCTGCACGGCGTCTCAGGTTTTCCTCTCTTCTTTTCCTCTTTTCCTGAAAGCACAAATGAAAGATTAGAAATTTGAACATCGTGGGTTTGATGCACGTTCAGGACATCTGGGTCACACTACCTCTTTCTTTTGGTTTTTCTCTTCTTTAAGCCTAGTGGTAAACTGTTTTACAAGTTGCTTCTCTTGCTTGGCCTGCATCTTCTTCTCCCATGAGGAGCACAGAGGCTTGTCTCGAACCATGGCTGAGAACCTGGGAGACAAAGATCACACAAGTCAGGTTAAYAAACATCTTATACCACATATGATACAAGTGCCTGTTTTAATTTCTAAATAAAGTGTTTTATGATTCTTAAATGTTTATTGTAAGGATAGAAAGAGGTTATATGTTTACCTCTGTTTGTTTCTGTCCTTCCATACTCTTCCTGATTTGGGTTTACCCAGAGGGATCTGTTTGGTACTGGGTTCCTGAGGAGCGGTCGTCTTCTTCTTTTTCGGGATGGTCTCTGAACCCGAAGGTACTGTTTCAGCCGGTACAGGTCTGGGTATCTGGATGTCTCCGCCACCCTGGGTTGGATCTGTCTCTGCTGAAGAAACCTCCTCCTCCGTCGGCGGCTCTGCTGTCTCTGGTTCTGACAGGCCGGACTCCTCGACTGAACACTCGAGTTTCCGCTCYGGAACCTTCGTGTTTTCTTCTTCCACCGCCGGCAACTCCTGGAGGACCGACCTCCTGGTCCTTCTGCTGGGAGTCCTCACCGGTAGTTGGGAGTCGAGCAGAGCGGCGGGAGTACGGACTGTGCGGCCGCTACGGGTCCGCCTGGTGTCCGAAGTCGGATTCTCGACCTGCTCTTCTCCCGATTCGGAAGCCGTGTTTTCCGCTGCTGCGGCTTTCTTTCTCTTTGGCATATTTTTTTTAAAAAGAAAATAAGCGATGACACAACAATAAAAAAAATTCTCGCACCCACGTGTCACAGTGCCTCTAACTTCACGCGTAGCAGCGCCGCTGTTTGTGTACGTTGCGTCTCTTCCGGTGTCAAAGTTGGCAACAACTAACAGCGCGGGCGTTGTCGCCCCCTAAAGGTGAGATGGAGAAACTGCAACTAAACTGTGCTGAATTATACAAACACACAAAAAAAAAAAACATAAAAAACGATTTAAAGCAATAATAGTGTAAAATAATTTATTAAATAAATGTTTTATGAGCCAAAACCTTAAGTAGTTTGGAGTGATAACTAGAGCGATAAGCCTGCATATGAAAAAGCTGGACAACACCGCCACCTACCGACTAAAATTAGCCACTGCAATTGAATCACATGACTTTACTTCCGCAACTCATGATGTCTGTCATTAAAAACATGCACAAAGGGAGTATATGGACAGTAGCTGGCAGTGTTCGTGTTAAAGTTGAACGGGAAGAAGTTTGGTTAAGTATCTGCATTTGAAACCGGAGAGCGATAAGAAGATCCATTATGACTCGGATCAGACTGGACATGATCTTTCTGCTGCTGCTTCTGTCTGGACGCTCAGTGAGTACAACTCTGGTGCAGAGACATGAACATTCAAATCAGCAGAGAAAAGAAAAAAAATATATATATATATGTGTGTGTGTGTGGGGGGGGGGGTGTATTTGTAAGGCTTTTCCGCCAAGATATAATAACAAAACAGGTATTATGATATATTTTTTTATTTGTTTGTTTGTTTTGTAATTGATAAAGTCAAARTCTGGTGTGTAAAAATGCGGACAGAGTTTCAGTTCTGACTTTTCACATGATACTTTTAACTTTTTATGCTAAAACGCTGCTTGATTTGATAAAAAAAAACAATGTGTTAGTAGTTGTCATGCATGAGTCATGTGAGATGAACTGTGCACAAGTCTTGAGTTATTTCTCAAATTTTCATGTTTGCTTTAGGAATTTATTTTCTAGTGTTTTCTCTTTAAAATTTTATTTTTTGTCTACTTTTCAATCACACTGTTTTGGTATTATCACAATATTGAATATTTGTGGAGAAAAAAGACTCCTAAATTCAAAGATAAACGCCAAATTTTCACAACCCAAAGGGTGTGCAGGGTGCTGCAGCACCCCTGATGAATGCTCATATTTAGGCAAGACAACATGCAGTGTGCACGTCACTTTATGTATTTGGTATTCTTCAAATTCACTGACGCGAGACAACACTTCTCCAACTCGAACATGTTCTCACAGCTTTGGTTCCAGCTATCTGTCAGAAAAATAAAAATAAAAACAGCTTGCTCATATTTAAGAACCGGAGACAAAATTAAGAAAGAATTGTTTCAAAGTAGAACGTTAAAATATCTTCCAAAAAAACCTCGATAAAGACAATACAAAAAAGAAAAACAATTGCAGGTTTCAAATGTTATTCCACAGAGTTGTACATGAATATTTATATATTTAAGTCTCAGATAATTGTGTGTTGGTCTGCAGCTCGGAGCCTCTCCATCATTCAGCCTGGACTATCAGAACAACTGCTTTCTTAAAGACGGAGAACCGTTTCGTTACATATCAGGCAGCATCCACTACAGCAGGATCCCCCGGGTCTACTGGAAGGACCGGCTGCTGAAAATGTACATGGCCGGCCTGAACGCCATCCAGACGTAGGTTGGATAGAAAGTTTGCTCTTTTTTTTTAAAGTTCTGTTGAGTTTGAGTTTAACTCTTTTATTCCTAGAGTAGCACACTCACTAATTAATTTATTTTAGCAGAATCCATGACTTGTTTGGATAATCGAGTTTATACGATCACTTTGCAGCTACATTCCATGGAACTACCACGAAGAGTTTCCGGGTCAGTATAATTTTACTGGAGACAGAGACGTGGAATATTTCCTTAAGCTGGCTCARGACATCGGTATGGTGGTCATCCTCCGCCCGGGACCGTATATATGTGCTGAGTGGGACATGGTGAGAAAAACTGACTCGAAATATGGTTTAACTGTTTTTAAGGGCTTTCAAAGCAGGAAACCTAGAAATTAATTCACCTTTTGTGGAAAAATAATGTGTACGGTAGGTCATAGCTGAGGGATATCAGCATTAGTTTGACACTGTCAGAAAAAGTAGTCAAAACCAGAAAAACCAGACCGTCTTTATGGGGTTTTTTTGTGCTCAGACTTCAATTTTTGTTTTGCTTTCATACCAGCAAAATGTKTTTCAGAACTGCTCAAGTTTCAGAACATCTTCATTTTCTCCTCTTYATCTGGTTCTAACAGTGTTGGGAGATGTTTAAGAACAGTTTATTAGGTTTTACTCAAGCATATTATGGGATTATTATGGCTTTATTCTGTGTCCATTTTCTTCCTCCTTTTGTGTCAGTGTTTATTTCATTTTGAAAAGCCTGTTCTTTTCTTTTTTTTTTATTTGTTTATTTTTCTTCTGTTGTTGGTTTGCTTTTTTGGATTTCAGTTCTGGGGCTGATTGGTCTCCTCGGGGCTCGGGTTTAACTAAAATAAAAACTTGACCTTGTCTCATAAATGACAGCCTGCTGCCCACTCAGCACAACGTTTGGGTTCTGACGACCTTGTAAGTGACTCGTGATCCACACGAGGCAGATATTCAGAACTGGTCTTACAGCTAAATTAACTTCTGAATTGATTTGACAGGGTGCAGCCATTCTTCCTCATTCTGGTTTGAAAAAACTGGAGGGTTTTAAGAAATGAATCTGCGTTTTTTTTTAAATGCGTTATAAACGATTTTCAAGCTGAGCGACAGCTGTGGTTGTTGTTCACAAACATCTGTGTCAGAAACTGAACTGGACTCACTTTTCTTTAACGCACCGTGTCTGTGTTTGATCATCAGGGCGGTCTGCCTGCCTGGCTTCTCAACAAGAAAAACATGGTGCTGCGATCATCAGACCCAGGTGAGCCGCAGAGACGCAGTGAGCAACATACAACAGAAAATACACAACACTGTGGTTCGTGTGTGTGTGTGTGTGTGTGTGTGTGTGTGTGCGCTCCAGATTACATCACAGCTGTGGATAAATGGATGGGGAAGTTACTGCCAATGATCAAACCTTACCTGTATCAGAACGGAGGTCCCATCATCACTGTACAGGTAAGAGTGGAGTCACCTGTCAAAGCAGGTTTAATTCTGTCAGACATATAAACGTCTGTGTTTACAATGCTAACATATGTWAGCAAAGTATCTCAAGAACCACTGGACAGGTTTTAACCAGAGTCTCAGGAACAAATCACTGGTTTTAAATTTATAACTGATTAATGTTTGAAGTAAGCCACTCTCAAAAGGACCGCCACATCCAGCTGCTCTTAGAAAACACAAAAAGGTCTCAAATGCACCCAGTTTTAGTGATGTCGAGCTAAACATTAGTGTATTATCCCTAACACATTCACTAAGCACTAACTGTCTGTGCAAGGTTTGTTTTTAAACTTTGACATTTAGCTATTGCAGTCACCTCTGCCTTGTCTGTTAGCAAAAAATCTCTTGAACCACTGGACAGATTTTAATGAAACTCTCAGAAACTAATGTTCTGATGATTAACTTTTGGAGTCAACCCTATTCAAGATGGCTACCACAGCTTAGCAAAGTTAGCAAACACAAAAATGGCTATAGATCAATCAGTTTTTAGATATTAAGCTGAGCTTTGGTGTGGTAGTAGCTGAGAGTTATTCCCAACTTACACTCTGACCACTATCACTTCTTTAGAGATCTCTCTAAACTGCATGAGATTACAAGGCGAAAAGGAGACAGGTCATATGCATTCCATCAAGAAATGCTAGCCTGTGTTTTGATAAGCCCTACGGGACTTGGACAGGGCCAGCAGATGGCGTCATTCATTTTTGTTTGCTAAAGTAGGTGTAAAACTTATTTTTCCCACATTTTTTYTAMGTCTGTCACAAAAGGTGTCTTTAATGTTTTTAAAATGAGCCACCAAATTATTTTTGGATAAATATTTATGGTTTTAGAGCTATATAAACATTTGTAAGTTGAACCATCGCGGACCGTTTCGGTTTCAGGAAGTTCTCCGCATCTGTAGCTGTGCAAGTTTTGGTTCCATACCCCTCCCTTTGGTATCTTTGAAAAGATGAAGCTCTCACAAATTCAGGGATATATCTTGACACTGTGTTACTCTTTGTTTGGTGACGTGAAGTTTGTTCGTAACCGAGAGTATAAATAACAGTCCTCGTGCGTAAAACGTAGAGACTGAGTTAGGTTCCATTCAGTGATTTCATGGTGTGCACAATGGTAGATTTTGATGATGCACAGTGTAAATGTAAAAMGAAAAGGTTATGTCATATGCAGAATGAGTCCTACAAAATAAATCAACACTTTATTAGACCAGATTCTCTTTTAGAAATAAAAAATCCATTTGGCACAGTTTTGGGTACATTTGGCTAAATTGTGCCAAAATGCCATTTCCGCCTGGCACACTGCTCACTAAAACCTTTGTGAAATCGAAATATTTCAACTTATTCAGTCCTACTTTGCTACAAKTTTTTCTCAAGATGTAGATGTATAAAATCTAAGGGCATTCCTGGGTTTTCATAAGAATTTTCATTGTGTTTTGCACTGTCGATTTTAAAAAAATTTAGGCAAGGCTAAAAAATTACAAATATTCTTTATTTAATCACAAAAATAACTCAGGCATTGTAAGAGTTACAATAGTGGTTTCACTTAAGAAATTATCTTTTAAGATCTTATCTTTACAGAGGTACCAAGAATTAGCATTTAGACCTTATAACTGTGGAGCTATTCTTGCTTTATTTTGCTGTGTATTTTCAGGCGGAAATTACCTCTAAAACCCCTGAGTTCAGCGTCTCCATCATCTTTTTATTTTGCAGGTGGAGAATGAATACGGCAGCTACTTCGCCTGCGACTACAACTACATGCGCCACCTGATGCAGCTGTTCAGGTCTTACCTGGGTGAGCAGGTGGTTCTGTTCACAACGGACGGCGCGGGGCTGAACTACCTGAAGTGTGGCTCATTGCAGGGGCTGTACGCCACGGTRGACTTTGGGCCTGGTGAGTGTCAGTTAGAGCTCACTCACCGTTTGTCTTTTAAAATGAACGACACTTCAAACATGAAGTCCTGCAAACGGAACAGGACAAACAGATTTGTTTGTTTGTGCAGAAAAACCAGTTTGACGCAGATTTTAAAGACTTTTGTTCTGTGTCTGCATTGTCTGCATGTCACAGTTTGGATGAGTCAGAAGTCAGGAGGAGTTTGWGTTAATAAATGCACCCTCATTTCTGCAGGTTCAAACATAACTGCTGCCTTTGATGCACAGCGACACGTTGAGCCAAATGGACCTTTGGTRAGCTTCTTCCTCCGTGACTAATGAGTTGAGATGAGTTTTATCTTAAAAGTTTGACCAAAACAACGACTCCTTTCTCACATAAAATAATCCAAAACARTGACAGATGATGTGTTGAYCTTWATTTAAGCTCTAAGTTTGACACTTTGAATAAAATAATATTAAGCTTCTTCTTTCATCGCAGGTGAACTCAGAGTTTTACACCGGTTGGCTGGACCACTGGGGGTCCCACCACTCCATCGTATCTTCCGCCTTAGTGGCCAAATCGCTCAATGAGATCCTGTCCATGAAGGCAAACGTCAACCTGTGAGTCTGCAGACGTCTGCGGCGAGTTTAGCTGCAGATAAGAGCTTAATGCAACAAACGCTGCTTATTTTGTTGCATGGGAACATTCTGATGGAAGAACCTGCATCCTCACAGTCACATTCTGTTAACGATGCTTTAAACTTAGCCAATCACCTGAAGTTTTTATGCAAATCAGTTCCAAGGGATCCGTTCAAGTTGGGTTCTGTAGAAAGGGTATGAACAGTTAACATCTTACCTGATGTAGATAGCGTTTTGAATATCGTTTGGAGAAATTAAGCTGATTTTGACCAATTTCGATAAGCTAATGGCTTGTCTAAAGGAGGTTAAGGCTCTTGTAAATAGCAATGCAAAGCCGCGATGCTGTTTACAAAATATGAACCAATATAAATAAACTATATGGAGTGAGAGTCAGGCTAGCCGTTAGCTTGTTGTTCAGATTGATCTGCAACAGGTAAGACATTATTTGCTYATATCTGAACAATATTTTAACACTTTTGTAAAATTCGATAAAATTCGTCTGCAAGCACCAAAATGTCTGAAATGTTAGATTCAGGTTCTGCTTTTCTTCCACACAGGTACATGTTCATCGGTGGATCAAACTTTGGATACTGGAATGGTGAGTGGACCTTTTTTAAAAATGAAGTAAATGAAAGTTTTATCCTGAGGTAAATATCTGCAGCCAGATTCAAAACGTGTCACAATGACTCCTAGGAGCCAACTCGCCGTACGCCGCTCAGCCCACAAGCTACGACTACGACGCTCCGCTGACGGAGGCGGGAGACCTGACGGAGAAATACTTCGCCATCCGAGATGTCATYAGACTGGTCAGAACACAACTTTAAAAGTTTGGTTTAAAAATGAACTCWAATGGTGTTGTTAACACCTGTCTGTGTTTTTATTTATTCATATATCTGTTAGCAAAATATCTCATGAACTTCTGGATTTCAGTAAAACTTTTAGACAGTAATCATTTGATGTTCGTCGACAACAGATAAAATTTTGGAGTATCTAATCTACAAAAAACGACTGTAACTCAGGCATTTTTACAAATTTGGAGATAAATGTTGCCATGGCAGTAGCTGAGAGGCTGTGGCAAGCCATTTTAACGTAAAATCGGATTCACAACGCTTACTTTCAGATATCTGAAATTAATTATGACTAGTCAAAATATTTGAGATATCTCTAATTACATTWTGACTAGTATAAATGACGTCAGAATTACATTGAGTTCTATGGATACTTAAATTCAAACTTAACTAGTCAAAAGATACAGTTTGAGATATCTCTACAATGGTTTTGACTAGTCATTATTTGCTTTCAAGATACTGTATCTCACTTTTTGATCTGACTAGTTCCAATTTTTTACATAGTTTATTCATTTCATTAAAAAAACACATTACATACAACAAAACAATGCAAATCAAATAAAATGAAAGGCAGCAGCAGAAGAAAAATCTTATATCTGCTCCTATTTACAATAAAATTAAATTAATCTTAAATGACATCATTATTCAAGATGTCTTAAATGTACTTTTAGATATATATGATGATCTGACTAGTGCAAATTAAATTACAGATATACTGAAAGCAAATAATGACTAATTAAAAGTAAATTAGAGATATCTACTCTAGTACGTATGACTTGTGAAAATTCCTTTTAAGATATGTTAAATTGGAATTATGACTAGTCAGAATGTTAATACAGATATCTTAAATTACCATCGAGGATAGTCAAAACGTAGTTGTTCCTAGTCAAAACTCATTTTTACATAACGAGAATGAAATTACAGATATTCAGGCGAAACTGATTTTATGCTAAAATGGCTTGCCAAAAGCATTTTCAGAGAGTCATCCTCATCAAACACTTCGAGCACTAACCGATCATGTGGGGTTTTTGTTTAAAACATTTGCATGCCAGATTGTTCTTTGAAGAACGTTTTGCTAAGTTGGTGTTATCTGGAGTAACTCTGGTGTCTTTTTAAAACAGTTTAATAAAATACCAGAGGGACCAGTTCCACCATCAACACCAAAGTTTGCATACGGTGCTGTTAAAATGAAGAAGGTAAGCAGGTACATGACTTTATATGTATCTAATTTGAAGTCTTTTAGCTGCTGAAGGATTTTTCTTTACATAAAACAGATTTACAGTCAAACTACACATCACACAGATTTAACTGTGAAATGTAAACTTCTTGTTGCCTGCAGCTGCAGACGGTGTTAGACGCTGTGGAAACTCTGTCTTTCTCCGGTCCTGTTAAAAGCATGTACCCACAGACCTTCATAGATTTAAATCAGGTATCCCTCAGCTATTTATTTTTTTATTTTTAATTTGCAACAAAGTCTTTCCTGTCACTGATGAGCTTCTGTCTGTCCTCCAGGTGTTTGGGTTTGTTCTTTACAGGACGAAGCTGCCTGTTAACTGCAGCGAAACGCCTCTGTCCTCGCCGCTGAACGGGGTCCACGACAGAGCGTACGTGTCTGTAGACAAGGTGAGATCATGACTCAAGCAAGGTTTAACATTTATTTGCAGATTTGTTTTATTTAAAGAGGCTTTGAAATATGCAGACTATCTGTACTTCTACAAAACACCAGTATAAATAGTTGTTTGTCGTCCAACAAGTTCAACTTATTTGTCCTTAAACACACTGAATACATAAAGTGCCAACATTCCTTGAAGGAATGCAGATCAGCCGCAGACTTTCATGCTGGAGTTTTAAACAGGATCATTTTCTGATGAGAAACGATGCAGCTGCAGCAGTTTTGGTCAAACTTTGCATGAACATTATGCTTGATCTCATGTTCTGTTGCAAGACGTCGCCTGATCTTGCATGATCTGTTCGTGCTCAGGGTACGAGTTGTAAACAAATCTCAACAACTAAATCACCCAATTTTAGCTCAGATTCATTAAGTTAGAGTCATTTTGTGTAGGTGTAAGGGAAATAGCTGTGGTAGCCATCCTGAATTCGGTTGACTTCAAAAGCTAATCAGTTGTAGACGTATATCAAATATTTTCTTTCTCAGAGTTTCATTGAAATCCGTTTTGTGGTTCACAGGATGCAGTTAGCTGTAAGTGTGAGTTTAAAACATTTATAGCTGCTGTTCACAGCAGTGCAGCTCTGCATCTGACCTGATGTGCCACCAGCCATCACTTCACAAAGAGAGACTCCACAAAAAACGCTGTTTGAATTTCTGATGCTTTTTTTTTGTCCCAGTCAGCTGTAGGGATCCTTGAAAGGAATAAAGTCATAACCATGAACGTGACTGGGAATGCAGGCAGCCAGCTGGATGTGCTGGTGGAGAACATGGGCCGAATCAACTATGGGAGAGACATCAATGACTTCAAGGTTTTTATTTAGAGCTAAAATTTATCATTTAAATTACATAATCTGGTATTTGGAATAATTTAGACGATTTGTTGTTTTGTTTTTTGTTTTTCTTCTTCTAGGGTCTGGTGTCCAATCTGACTCTCGGGGGAGTCCCTCTGACTGGCTGGACGATGTACAGTCTCAGCATCGATGAGGCAGTCAGCCAGGGTCTGCTAGGACACGGATCACATCCTGGGACAGATCCACCTCAGCCTGCTGCTCTGTCTCTTCCTACTTTCTATGAGGGCAGCTTTATAATCCCTGACGGAATCCCAGACCTCCCTCAAGATACCTACGTCAAGCTGCCCAATTGGAGAAAGGCACGTGACCCGCATACGACACTTAGATCAGCCTGATGTTTACTTCAGTCTTTATAAAAACAATAAAGAGTGGAGGAAAAAAAACACTTGAGAAAACTCATTATTATTATTTTTATATTGAGTTTTTTTTAATGTTCTAAATAGACTAATTAGTGTGTTTTTCTATTGTTTTTATTTTAGGGGCAGATCTGGATTAACGGCTTTAATTTGGGGCGTTACTGGCCAGCCCGCGGCCCTCAGGTGACTCTTTTTGTCCCCGCCAACATCCTCAGGACCTCCGCGCCCAACAATGTGACCATCCTGGAGCTGGAAGGGGCGCCGTGTGGCTCCCAGCCGTGCATTGTGGAGTTCACGGACACCCCGATCCTGAACGCAACGGTCTCCTCTAAACCCACACACCACCGACGGCTGTTTGTTAAAGAGGATTTACTGTGATATTSAAGGAAACGCTCCGCTGCACTAACGGAATCAATTTGCACTTTAGTCTCGGTGTACTGGCCTTAAATCATCACTTGTTTTGTAAACAGATGTGTGCCTACTTTATTTGAAACTGTTATGTAAGAAAAAAAATGATCATTTAGGGAATATAATACCAACTTACCTTTAAATTCTGGTGTTAAATTAGTTTTTTCTACCTCACTGATTCTGTGCAACAGATTTTTTTCTGTCTCTTAAAGGGATTGCCGGGTAAAAGCTATTTCATCACATTTTTATCACATTGTGKAATCCAGGGAATATGTATTTTTCATGTTAAATCCTCTTCTGGGAAATATGTGTTTACAGTGAAATTTTACAACTAATAAAGTGTTAAAACTGGAGCTTCTGTTTATTCAGAAAGKTTTGCTGACACTGAATGAGCATTAAGAGTTGTCACGCATGCCTTTTAACACATGAAATCAAAGTGTAATTTAGTATTACTTTAATGTCTCTCTCATCACAGTTATCTGTTGTTCTTTTAAGTTTATTTTCTATAAACCCCTCGTTTCTGGACTCAGTGATCTAAAACGTTGCCTTTAAATAGTAACCCTGTTTTCCCTCAATGGTCAGAAAGTACTTTGTAAAAGWCATAGAAATGTGGAATACAGCTTTTGTGCATTGCTAAAATTAAGTTATTATTTGAAGTATTTCAGCTGTTTAAGCTAAATTAAAAGAGGTAAATTATGGATGTTTCATTTATGGTTTTAGAGTAAACTGGAAAGGAAATTATTTTAAAATTTTTCATCTGCATTTGTTTTGGTTTAATATCCAGGAGACTAGAGAGCAAATAATTTAATAAAAACACAAAAGCTTGTTTTAACTGGAAACATGCTTCATTATTTTGTAGTAACTAGTCTGCCTTTTTTAAGTAGAATTTTATACKGTTTTTAAATTGTTTTATGGGAGGCTTGCTTTTCACTCTATGTCCAGTAGGTGGCGGTAATGCTCAAAGACGTGGACGAACATGCCACCATTAAAACAAGAAGAAGAAGAACAGATGTGGCGATTGTCGGAAGTTTAATGGGTTGAAGAAATAAGGTGATTATAAGTGAGTTTATTTCGTCATGTGGGGTTTTGAACTTTATTACTGAAACATCTTAGGCTATTTTTTTTTAGTAAAAATGCGTTAATAAATATAAAGTTTTAATTAAAGGGGTTAGATAGAGGGGATAAAGCGTTAGCTAGCTAGTTCCTTAGATTTCCAGAGAAGAAACGATTTATTTACTCTGTAGCAAAACCTGTTTTAACTAAAGCCTTTACACATATATACGTCTACGAGCCTTGGTATAAAACTAAATGGTAGTAAGTTAACATGAACCTTTATGCATCTTTTAACTTTTGATATGTTCCAGCTCCTGTCCGTGTGTTCGGGACGGATGCAAAACCTGGACGGAATAAAGTTTTTAAAACCCAGATGCTGTAACCCTGCACACAGACAGCACTTAACATGATCCAGTGCCTAAACAACAAGTGGACATTTTTGTGGCAAAACAACCCAAGCTGCTTCACACACCCACTCTGAGT